TTATGGGACAGCAAAGTCACTCGGGAGCTCTTTTGCTGGGAACCACTTCTTTCTCTTCTCCTTTCACTGTCCTTTAATCCACGCCTCCCAACCCTGCACTGTTGCTGAACTAAATCAACTGGTTTAGTGAAGACACTGTTCTTTATGTCAAACGAGTCTGTCTGGTCCAGTTGTAGAAAACTGTAATTGAATTTACTGGCATACACCCACGGAGACTTTCAGGGAAGCACCTTGCTGGGCAGGTCAGGAATAAAAAAGGAAGATGTAAACCCAGGGATATTAAACCCTTTGTTATAACTATTTAAATATAGTTCCCTAGCACAGCGCAGTTACAGTTCTACCCTCGGATCCCACGGCTGGTTTCCAGAGGTTGCGTTTCCAGCTGCAGGGAGCAAGGGCGGCTGGCTCGGTTGAAGTCTAGCTGCACGCCCCATAAATTGTCCCGTCTCGCTGGAGTCCCTCCAGCAACCCCGCTGACATGGGTTTTGTGGTATATGGAGTCTGTCAAGGGAGAGGAGCTCTCCTGGGGGCTTGTGGCCTGCTTAGACCTCGTCCTTTTTCCCTTTGGCCCATGTGAAGAGCTCGGCGTGACCCGTCCCCGCGGGCAGCGGGAGTGCTTGCTCGGTCGCAGCTGATCGTCTTTGTGCTGTTTGTCTTTGAAATTGTTCACGGCGTCCAGGAGGGACTTTTCTTCCTTGGTCAAAAGGGTTCCACTAGGTTGAACCTCCCGCAGTTGGACCGTTCGATCCCAGATAGCAAGTTTGTGACAGGGTCTTCGCTGCAGGAGCTGTGATTCCTGGTCTGAATCGTGGAGGATCCGTAACTGTTCCCACAGAAACCTCTAATCCACAGAGAGCTGGCGCACGGGGAGCGTCGCGCACGGAGATGTCCCGCGGCCGGGAGAGGCAGGAGGGAGCCCGTCGGGTGTTGATCCGTGCCCTTGTCATGGTTTTCATCGAGCCTCCTCGCAGACGTGCGGCAGCGTGGGGGAGGCGTCTGGCTGGAATGTTCTGGAGGGAGGGAGAGAAATTTTGATGGGCAAAAAGCTAGAACGCAGCCCGAGATTGTGGTAAGAAGTAGCGCTCTTGCTCTTAACCTCTTAAAAGCTCTGTTCTTCCTGAATATTCATTTGACACAGGGTACAACACTGTCCTTAAGACAGACAGATCTCTCTGTGGGCTGTAGCTTATTGCAGCAAGAGAAAGCCAAACAATCTGCATTGCCCAATACATTCAAGAAAATCTAGTAGGAGGGTTGAGGAAGATAGCAAGATTAGTTTGACAAAGATTATTTGTTGCTAAACAGAGTCTTCAGTGTTTCCCTCGGCCCCGACACACACAATGAATTGCTCCACCCAGGGCCTTGCCATTTGCTTCATGGCTCAGTTGATTTTGATGGGTTTATTGTGAAGCAGGATTTATGGAGCCCCAGGAAGGAATAAAATTAAAAACTTCCGATCCCCATGTTCCCACAGGGAAGTCGCTCGCCGTGCTGGGTGAGGGGTCCAGCTTTCAGGCCCCCTGATCCAAGCGTGTCCTCTTTGCTCTCCCTGATGGGAGACGCGTGAGCATCTCTGAGGTTCTCTGCAGGAATTTTAAGAAAAACTCTATAAATCGCGGGGTTCAGGCCAAGATTGCAAGGCGTTGGCAGCGTTGCCGATGATACAACCTCTTGTCTCCCCTTTCATCTGCCCCGTAGCTAGATTTTTCTGCAGGAGGACAGAATTTTTGGGGCAGGACATCGGTCCCACGGAATCCTGCTAACTGGGCCATGGCCCTGAAAGGATTTCTCCTCGTGTCTATCAGCAGTGGCTCTGTTGTCAGAAACAAAGCAAACCTTGATCGCTGGTGAAGGAGCAGATCCGCCCCGTGTTTCAACATCTGAAGCCGGGCCCATCAATCTGAAGTTCTTCCCCACTCCCAGTGCCAACGGCTCCATTGGTGCCGACGCTCCAGAGAGAAAAGAAATTGCTTTTCCCCTCGCTGGAATGTCAGCCCACCGCTCGGAGACTCCCCCGCATCTTCCTTTTCTCATGCCGGAGGTGGCGCGCTCATCTCGGTGACCTGCGAGCATCTGCTTCCCTGGTTTTCCGCTTCGTTGCGTCTCTGTTTAGACGCTGCAATGCCCTGTCCCACATACTAATTACTGACTTCTTGCTTCTGAGGAGCTTGATTCATTCTGGCACTTTTTCCCATGTGAAACTGGACCTAGAGCCTTGGAAAATATCTTAATGGACATCAGCGTAAGGCTAGGGTTAACCCCAAACTGCCCGCTGTATCCGAGCTAAAAGGCGCCTCTTTTAGACCGTTGTTTGTTCTCCTGCCTCCCTGACAGCGCTGAGGGGGACAAATATTGTCACTTTGTGCAGCAGCCTGCCCTGAAGAGGGAGCCCTGGTGGGTGTGAGGCAGCGTGGGCAGTTTTGGGGTGTCGATGGGTTCCTGCACTGCCGCTCGAGTTGGTGATCGCAGGGTGCATCTCCCACCTCGCCGCGCTTTATTTTTTAATTAGGAGGCTTGTGTCTTTGCAGGCTAAGCACAGACTGCTTTCTCCCGCCCAGGGGAGCTGGCAAATCCAGCTTTTGAAGGAAAGAAATGCTGGGCTGAGACCTGTGACCGATGCCCAGAGGCTCGTCATGCGCCCTCGTCCTCTCACCACGTCTCTGCCTCAGTTTCCATGCGGTGAATGGAGATTAACCCCATTTTTTTTCTCCTTTTCTTTCCCTGGTAGTTTCGAAGCATTTAGTTTTTGGAGCAGGAAACATCTCTTACTGTGTTTGGTGACTGATCTTTAAGTAAAAGTTGACTGATCTTTGAGTAAAAGGGTTTTGTCCTGAGGAGCCCTGACCGCTGCCTGTGCGTGGGCCTGGCCCGGCCTCTCTCTTCTTCTCCTCGCAGTAATTCTACCTGATTAACTCAGAGACTGTTTCAGAGGTTTGGCAGGAAGAGAGGATTTCCCTCTCTTCAAAACTGAATACATTAATTTTGTGTTTCCGAAGCAATCCTCGCTTAGCTACTCTTGCAGCGGAGGCCTTTCCTTTGGCTGCTGAAGATAAGTCGAGACGTTTGACTCCTCTGTAATTTAAGGCTCTTTTCTTAACCTGCCTGCCTCTCCTAAAATCAAAGTCCTACACTTCAGTCACTTGGTAATTTCGGCAGAATTTCACCATAATATATTCATTTTTCATCTTGGCCTGATGACTGGTCTTGTACTTTTGGCATGTGAGGAGGCCTTTCCTTTGGCTGCTGAAGATAAGTCGAGACGTTTGACTCCTCTGTAATTTAAGGCTCTTTTCTTAACCTGCCTGCCTCTCCTAAAATCAAAGTCCTACACTTCAGTCACTTGGTAATTTCGGCAGAATTTCACCATAATATATTCATTTTTCATCTTGGCCTGATGACTGGTCTTGTACTTTTGGCATGTGAGAGGTTATGATTGATTTACTTACACGTTTAATAAGACTGTTGGTGTTGGCTGATTTTACTTCCCATTTCATAACATTTGGTAAGTAACAGAAATGGCAAACCTGGAAGGAAGC